CCACACTACCCAAAGGTCTCTAAAGGTTACTAAATTGAACTGGTACCTTTTGTTTTTGTCCACAAAATCTCAATTCCCTGTCCATAAAAGCTTGGAGTCTTGTCACCAACTGCTTTTATACTGGTCATATAAACTTCAGATCTCTTTGCCAGATACTTTGAACCCCTCAGACGTATTCTATATCTAGCAGCTAACGCTTCCTTGCACAATGAATTCCGCAACCCTTCTCCCCCGGGGCTATCTCAAGACGTTTTTGTTGCCTCAGAAAAATGACCAAATAGTTTCTTCGCTGTCCCACAGAGAGAAGTCAACTGGACTCAGGGTGGAATCTTAACGCTCAACACTGGTTGTGCATCTTCCATAAATCCTTGAAGACAGGAGGTAAGTTTAGGGACCACAGGGCAGACAATGTGGCCCACATGCACAGAGTTCTGTCGTCTAACACCGCCATGAAATGGTCATAGGGCTCAGGAGGAAGAACTGAAGAGGGGCTGCCCTGTTGCCCCCTCCTAGCATCTGCCACCTGAGGCAGTTATCGCTCTTAAGGTAAGGCCAGCTCTGCTTGTCCGACTTCAAACTTCGACTCCCTCGTCTGCTTACCCAGAAGCCTTGATATCTACTGTATTTTGATGAGGTTGACCTACCTGGCGGCAAAAGTGTTGCTCTCTACAGCCGCCACAAAATTTGCAGTGAGGGTGATGTTCTGCCCTGGATTGAGGACAGCTGTAGTTGGCGAGAAGCTTTTCATAAAACCCATGTCATCCCAGACATTGAAAGAGAATGAACCAGTTGCCCCATCATTCACCACAGCGACAGAGACCTCCAGACTCTTGCCAGGTGACATTGTATCTGGGAAGAACAGGATAACATGTAGGTCATTAATACCTCAGAGGTCATGGGAGAGCATCTGGTTGGTTCCTTGTTGAAGGACAGTTTGGAAAATAGTAGAGCAGCATGTGCAGGTAAAAACCAGAGCTTGGAAAAATACTTTTATTGGACTACCACTCCCAGAATCCACAGCCAGGTCTGTGTTCTCCAAAAAAAGTCACATTTCCAACTTCTGGGAAGAATAGTGCACAAAACTGCATGTATTCATAGCCCTGTGTACAAAAGTATAAGAATTTTGAGCAGAGTTATTGAAAGTTAATTTTTTTAACTACAACTCCCATGCTGGACAGTGGACTCTGAGAACTGTAGTCTGAAAAGGTACTGTAAAATTTTCCAAGTGCTAGAATTTTCATGAGGACTTTTTTTTTTAAGGCACATTGTTGAAGAACCGGATGGAAAGTACTCAAGGTTAGAAAAAGAAGAAACTGAAGAGGATCTGAAGCAGACAAGAGTCATATCTGGTCCTACTCACTGTTTTGGTCTGGCAAAGACACAATCTGGACAGATTCTGCGTTGATTGGGTCTGTGTTGACTCGTGAAAAGGGAAAGCGACCTGGAGACAGGCCTTCCACCATCAGCAGGGTTGCCTAGAAGGTGATGAAGGAGGAAGTTATATGTTGTCCTCTGTATCTTGAGCTATATAGCAAACTACAGGAAATAACCACACCAAGTTGATTGTTCATCATTATTATTCTACAATACTAATTTATCACTTGTCACCGAAAAAATCTCACCAAGTTCTCTAAAAAGTGAACCTTATTTCTTATTGTTTATCTAGAATACGGGAGTCACAGAAAGCTTCTGTTGTCATAATCAGATAATTCTGGGCAGTTAGGGAATGGCCTCTTTGGGACGTGGACTATGCTTCATGTATGGCACGGTCCTCAGAATATCTAGTTTGCTACAAGGGGCCCTTAGGACGAAAAACACAAACACTGTTGGGTTTGTCTTCCCTGTCACTCGCCATTCAAGAGTGACCACCAGGCTAGCCATACATTGCTTCTGTGGAGAATGGAGACACAAGGCTTGTGGGGAGTCGATGAAGGATCATATTGGAGCCAAGAGCCTCAGTGGGACCTCTGAGGGATGTTGGCCAAGTCTTTGGGTCCGAGTTCTTCAAAAGTTTTTCTTTTCCATCTTGCACCCTAGAAGGTTTGTGGTAAAGATGGGACCTCTGAGGGATGTTGGCAAATCTTTGGGTCCGAGTTCTTCAAAAGTTTTTTTTTTAAATTAAAAAGTGGGCCAAATGTCCCATCGGCCAAAGGTCCCATCTCCTCCTCCCACCGGGCCCCCCTCTTCTCTCCCCAAAGGACCTGCCTTAACTCAAGGGGCCCGAGGAGGAGGAGGAAGAAGAAGATGGAGGAGGGCCCTTCACCTGCAAGGCTCCAAGGAGTGCGATCTCATGAGAGGAAGCCAAGGTAGCCATCTTGAAAAGGGGCCACCAGTGGTGAGGAGGAAGCTTAAACAAAGACACGTACCCCACCACCACCTTTGGCTCGCCTGAATGGATAGCCTGGAAAAATGGGCTGGTGCTCAGTGGGTCAAGCTTCCCTCCCCTTTTTTACTGCCTCCTCCTTCTCCTTCCCCCGCTACAGCCTTCGACACTACCATAAATTCTCCTCAGTGGGGTTTCTCAGCCCTCAGGAGCAGCTTCTGAGGATGTATGGGTCGTAACTAAGGGGAAGGGGGAGGATTAACACAGACACCCCTCCCAATTATGCTGCTGGAAACAGGTCTGTCGGAGGGGCAGCCCCACCGGATCCGAGCCTAGTTTCTAGACGGCGATGCCTTATCCACCCATCCTTTTCGTGGAAAGACTAAGGAGCTGCAGAAAGAAGAGCAGATTTCCCTCACCCCCTCCACTCCCTTAGTTACGGCAAGCTGCTGTGGGTATTTAGAAGCAACCGCAGGAAATGGTACATACCGGAGCATGCAAGGACATCGAAGCGACGGCCAAAGGGTTGCCAAGAGCATCAGAGCTTTGGTTCACCGAGATGGTGTCTAGGGGGATCCCCACCTCAGAAAGAGCGACCAGGCGCTGGACCTCCATATCTGAGGCCTCCCCCATCAATTTAATAGAGACAGTGTATTCTGAACCTGGAGAAAAATGCAAACAGTCAGCACAGTGATCATGACATCTTTGCTTTTTTCTTCCTCCTCTATTGCTTACTCCCCCCAGGTCCCCTACCCTGAGATGATAATGATGATGATGATGATGATGATTGTTGTTGTTGTTGTTGTTGTTGTTGTTGTTGTTGTTGTTGTTGATATTGATATTGTTGTTATTATTATTATTATTGGATGATAAATCTCAAGATCCCCAGGCTGGCTGCAGGATTTTAGCATGTGTAGTCAAAAAAAAAAGCTAAGTTTTCCAAGCTCATTGGACCAGTTTTATATACAAAAGTTAGCAAGTAATGGGAAAATCCCAACCTGAGTCTAGGGACCTTTGAGATTCCCCCCCCCCATTTCAAATCCCAGTATGAACAGGGGCAGCCTGCACCTCGCAAAGCAATCTGTGGCTTTTCGACCTCTCTAAGCTGTGGTGAAGGAAGGCATTAGTGGCTCCGTGGCAGAATTCTTCCCTGCCATGCAGGAGCTGTGAGTTCAATTGCTGGCCAATACCACTTAACTCTTGGTACCCGGTGTGGTGTAGTGGACAGAGTGACAGATTAGGATGCTGGAGAACTGGGTTCAAATCCCCACTTGGCCATGGAAACTTACTGGGGGAGTGGAATGGGTAAAACCAGTCCTTAAATACCTCACTTACCTTGAAGACCCTATTAGGGAATCTATAAGTTGATTCTGACTTGATGGAACAAATTAAATTCTGGTGCAATACTGTATATATTAAATAACTTAACCATAAGCCATGAGTAGACCTGCCCTTTGATGGGGAAAGCCTGTTCTACCCATGCTCCTGGTGGACAAGATGGACAAGATGTCTGAACACTGCTTTCTCCTCCTTTCCATCTCTTCATCCTCCAATTTCAGGACAAAGGCCAGGATCTACTGATCCCATGGTCTATGTATCTTCTTCCTCACTGGGAGACCTCACATACTCACTACCACCTTTCCTCCCCTCCTACCCAGGCTCTCTCCACCAGCCACATGTCTTTGCCTGCAAGGGTAGATCAGACCACCAGGCCAACCCTTAGAAGGCTGGTTAGGGATCCATTCACCATGGACAGCTGGGAAGGGTTAGGCTTTCTAAATTTGGCACTCTGGGATAAAGCCCTGGTTACCCTGACCTAGTTATGCCCCTGGAAAGTAGAGATGTGAGGATTTGTATTTTTTTAGACTCTTAACTCCCAGAATTTCCCTCACTGAACAGTCTGTGTGTGGGGGGCCGTCTTACTGTTCTGTAAAACAGAGTATAAAAATCAAATAAATAAATAAATACCTCTCACTGTTCTGTAAAACAGAGTGTAAAAACAAACAAACAAATAAATAGCCATGTCCAGATAGATTTTGACCATGCCTCCAAGGCCATATCCAGATAGATTTTGACCATGCCTCCAAGGAGGACTACTGCATTTATGGGGTGACTGCCACCTGCAGGGAATACAGACAGGGGGGCAGGGGAAGGAGGTCATGATATGTCGATCACAGTTGTGTGCCTGCACCCAGCACCCTTGTTGCAGCACCCCATGTTTGGTCCCACTTGTGTGGGGTCCCCGGAACTGGTAGGGGCTCTGCTCTTCCCAGTAAAAGACTGTTGTGTTCCACCCCCCTTTTTAGACTATTCGAGGGTGAAGTAAACTCTATGGCATCCTATAAATTTTACTGCTGAGCCGTGTTGGCTCTTGAAGAAGTTGTGTCGCTCAGGTAAAAGAGCTTGTTCCTGCAACTGTCATGAGGGAATTGGGTATGTGTGTGTGTGCTCTGGGGGCACTCACACACTCTTTTGAATGAGTGGGGGTAGAGATCACATTTCTCTGGGCATCTAGCCTGAGCCTAACAGGATCTTTTTGCTTCATCCCCAGAGAGGAGAGAATATGCTGCGTAACAGATGACCCTTTATCTACAGAGAAGAGAAAGCACCTTGATTACACCTTGCCTAAGGTGAAACCTGATACAGTATATCATTCTACAAGTCTTCAGTCTACATTTTGGAATCTCTCCGATCAGGATGGCCAGGATGGTTCAGTTTCTATCCCCTGTCCTCTCAGCCTGATGAAGAACCTCACTGGAGTTGAAAGCCTGCTTCCCCTCTCATCCCATTTCATTTTATTTTTTAGTGGTCTAGTTAAGGAGTGCAACCACCCTTGCCTTTTCTCCAAGGAAAATATTCCTTTAAGCTTCTCTTACATTTCTGACCATGTCTTGTGTGGTGTTCTCTCTTGACAGGATTTCTTCTCAACCGTGGGCCCCCAGATGTTCTTGGACTACAACTCCCAGAAATCCTGGCCAACACTGCCAGTGGTGAAGGCCTCTGGGAGTTTTAGTCCAAGAGCATCTGGGAACCCAAGGTTGAGAACGACTGTCATAGAGTTTGGAAAAGTTACTTCTTGTTTTGCCAGAACCTGTTAACCATCATCTGTAGTTTTGGGGGATATCTGGAAGCAGTTGTGATCTAAACAGATAACTTTTCAAAGACCTGTACAAATAAGCCCCTCCTCTGAACATTTACCTTTGACAGGTCTTCCTTCGATCGGGAGCACGTACTCGTTCTGCGGTTGCATGATCTGGTAAGAAAAGTCAAGCAAGCTTTTGCCTCCAATCTCCACCTCATAGGAACCACTGGGAGTGACCACCACAGCCCAGGAACCCTGCACGTTGATCGGAGACACCTTTACAACCTTATGGCTGGCTGTGTTGATCACCACGCTTGTAGCTGTTGATGAAACACCTGTTGGGGGAGGAAAGAAAGGAGGCAGAGTTTTAGGTACTTGGTAGAGGATAGGATGGCAAATCGCACCAGGCT